AAAAAGCCAGAAGTGGCGCTGTGGCTCAAGTGGTACAATACTAGCATTGAGCTGAAGAGCTGAGGGACAGCGCCCAGGCCGAGTTCAGGCCCCACAACCGGACCCCAAAAAAAAATTTAGTGGCAACATAAACTTTGAAGGTGATGCAAGTTAAACACCCTATAATACGATTGGGTGGGAGGGGGCTCTCTGGGGCTTGAACTCAGGGCACTGTCCCTGAGGTCCTTTGCTCTCAGCTAGACCTCTACCATTTCAGACACAGCTCCACTTCTAGGCTTTCCAGCCTGGGCTGGCTTCAAACCACAATCCTAGGGCTGGGAAGGTGGCTCAGCAGTAGAGCGCTTGCTTTGCATGCATGAGGCCCTGGGTTGGATTCCTTAGCACCACATAAACAGAAAAGGCTGGAAGTAGCATTGTGGCTCAAGTGGTAGAGTGCTAGCCTTGAGCTGAAGAGCTGAGGAACAGCGTCCAGGCCTAGAGTTCAAGCCCTACGACCTACCAAAAAAAAAAAAAAAAAGTCTCACGGACTTTCCTGTCCAAGCTGGCTTGGAACTATGATCCTCAGATCTCAGCCTCCTGAGTAGCTAGGATTACAAGCCTGAGACACCAGTGCCTGGCTGGCATCCATGCTTTTAAGCAGCTTGAAGATGTTACATACACACACACATTTTTCTCTAGATGCAACATGTCTTAAGAACATCCCTCCTCTTCAGGAAGTACAGCTGAGATAAGACAAGGCTTGGAGTGAATAGTTCCCGCGGTTCCCTTCTCTATCTGATGTTTCTGGCTTCCCAGCCTTCTGTCTCAGGCTAGAAGCGTAGACAGGCCAGAAGTGCCCAGACTACATCTCTCAGCCAGTGTGGAGACAGCCTAGCGGGGCTTGGAACCCTGGGACAGAGGAAGGAGAAATGCCCACCTGGATCAGGCTGTCCTTCTGGCCTTTGTTTTTTAGCAACATTGCATTCCGCCACTGCAGGTACTTCTCCTTGTGAGCATGGATCTTGAAAGTGAGAGTCGAGGTCTCCTTTGGGGTACCCCCCGTGGTGGGGGTAGACAGAGGTTCCGGGGTCAACAGTGCCCCACCTGTGAGCTCCTCTTGTGAAACGGGCCTCCCGAACTCTTGGCTCAGGTCTCTGACCATGGCAGAGGAAGGCATCAGGTCTCTCACAATCACCTCCTTGAGCCTAGTGCTATTGTGGCAGATGTCGTAGACCCTGGAACAAGAACAGCCACCTACTCAGCCCCACCTGCCTTGCAAGATAGGCACAACCAGCCCCAGCTTACAATGGGTGAAAATCAGAAAAGCAGAGTCTAGTTAGGTGGTCTGGCCTCCTTTCCTCTTCCTCTGAGTCCCCAGAAGTTAAGGCTTCCCAAGAACTACTCCGAATGCCTTTCTATGACTATAGTGTTCATGTCCTTCATTAGCCTACACAACTGGGGAGCAGTCCCAGTATACGAGGGGTACCTCTCCGCACCCTCCTAAACCAAGAGGGGACAACATGCACACCTCCTTACCTCTGAGTGAATCTCAAGGCCTGCATGATCAACTTTCCTCCTCGGGCCCTAGAATTCCCTCTTGGTGCTCGCTCTCTTCAGGCCTGGCCTGCAATGGGCCTTTGGTCAATGCTGACCAGAAGACACACCTGGGAACTGTCACATGACGACCCGTCTCTGGGTCCCCACGGCTGGTGAGGTGAATGCCTAGCAGATTCTGCCTCTTGCTGGCCTTTGGTGACCCTCTGCCTCCTCAACTATCAGACAGGAAAAATGCCTTGTGGACATAGCTCCCGAATGCAGAAAACACTTCATTTGACAAGCAATGGCTTTCATTTTCCTGATAGAACCTCAGCTACTTCTCAACACCTACCAGGCAGGACAGGCCCAGTCTCGCCAGCTGAGCCTCAAGGTTGTCAACACCCAGGCCACCAGCACCTCCATATGTCCCTCCCTGAGAATTTCTGTGTGAGGATTACTTATTTATGCCTGTTCAGTCCCTGGCCCAAAGCTGGTGGGACGTTGGGAAATAAAAGCCTTTAAGCTCTGAGTTCTTGTTCCATTTCTCTCCCTCCTGAAGTGCTGCTTCCACAACTCTTTCCTCCTCCTCTTCTTCCTCCTGATTCTCCTCCTCCTCCTCCTTTATCAACACACTCCACAACCTTTCATAGGAGCCTCTTGTCCAGATCTACTACGGGCTGTGCCAGTCGGAAGATGGGAGTGGTTCCTGGCTGGGCACTGAGGGGAGCTGTCTGAAGAGCGAGCTGCTGGCTTCCCCAGCCCTGCCCAAAGAAGTCTTGCTCTTCTCTCTCCCAAGAGGCTGCACAGAAACGTGCCTTGTGCCTGTTCCCTATGCCCTAAGCTTCTGAACCGTGGAGAGAGGAGAGAAAGGGGTCTGGCTCCCCAAGAGGCAGCTCAGTTGTAAGCCATTGAGTACAGGAATGCGGAGAGCCCTGGAGGTGGTGTGGCAAAGGCACAAAGTGTCAGAAGATGCAGCCCTTTAGCACCTGTGGGGCGGAGGGTGAAACCAGGCTTAGGGACTAAGCAGAGGAGAGGCATCAAAGCTGGGGGAAAAGCTATGTTGGCCAGCTGTGTGTATAGCTGCTGGTGGAGTCCATTTCCTCAGTTCTCACTAGAAAATGTTTTATGTTTTTTGTGTTTTTTGGGTCTGGTCGTGGGGCCTGAACTCTGGGCCTGGGCGCTGTCCCTCAGCTCTTCAGCTCAAGGCTAGCACTCTACCACTTGAGCCACAGCACCACTTCCAGCTTTTTCTGCTTATGTGGTGCTGAGGAATCAAACCCAGGGCCTCAGGCATGCAAGGCAAGCGCTCTACCACTGAGCCACCTTCCCAGCCCCAACCAACTAATTTTTTTTTAATTTTTTATTTTTTGTGTCCAGTCATGGGGCCTGAACTCTGGGCCTGGGCGCTGTCCCTCAGCTCTTCAGCTCAAGGCTAGCTCTCTACCACTGAACCACCTTCTCAGCCCCAAAACATGAAAATTTAAACAATTACAAAGAAAACTCTAGAAGATATAGGGATAGGTAATTTTGTTAAGTAATATTCCAGTTGCTTAAGAAGCACAAGAATTGACAAATTGGATAAAATCAAATTTAGAGGGCTGGGAAGGTGGCTCAGTGGTAGAGCGCTTGCCTTGCATGCCAGAGGCCCTGGGTTCAATTCCTCAGCACCACATAAGCAAAAAGAAAAAAGCCGGAAGTGGCACTGTGGCTCAAGTGGTAGAGTGCTAGCCTTGAGCTGAAGAGCTGAGGGACAGCGCCCAGGCCGAGTTCAGGCCCCACAACCGGACCCCAAAAAAAAATTTAGTGGCAATTGGGGCTGGGAAGGTGGCTCAGTGGTAGAGCACTTGCCTTGCATGCATGAGGCCCTGGGTTGGATTCCTTAGCACCACATAAACAGAAAAGGCTGGAAGTAGCATTGTGGCTCAAGTGGTAGAGTGCTAGCCTTGAGCTGAAGAGCTGAGGAACAGCGTCCAGGCCTAGAGTTCAAGCCCTACGACCTACCAAAAACAAAACAAAACTAAACTAAACAAACAAGCCACAATCCTCAGATGTCAGCTGCCTGAATAGTTAGGATTATAGGCATGCATAATCCCAGCTTATAGTACACTTAGGGGTTTTTTTGTTTGTTTGTTTGTTTTTTGGGTCCAGTCATGGGGCCTGAACTCTGGGCCTGGGCGCTGTCCCTCAGCTCTTCAGCTCAAGGCTAGCATTCTACCACTTGAGCCACAGCGCCACTTCTGGCTTTTTTCTTTTTTGCTTATGTGGTGCTGAGGAATCAAACCCAGGGCCTCAGGCATGCAAGGCAAGCGCTGTACCACTGAGCCACCTTCCCAGCCCCTACACTTAGTTTATGTTTAATTAATTTGAGCATTGCTTTAAATAATTTCTCTCCTTCAAATGACATGAAAAGGCAAAGTTTCTTTTTCTTTTTTTTATGAATTTAAGTTTTTATTTACGTATTTATTTATGTATTTGTGACAACAAAATTATCTGTGTACCAGACCATACATACATTAAAGGCAAAGTTTCTTTTTGTAAAATTTTCATTTAATGGAAACATGCCTATTTTCATGTCTTGTTTGTTTTATATTTTAAACAATACATTATTCATCCTTGTGTTTTACATAATGATTATGTTGAGGTTAGGTTTTAGGTCATGTTATTAAAATGGTTTAAGCAATCTTTATAAAAAAGAAAGTCTGAAGTATTTTTTCTAAAAAAAACCCTCTCTAAACCTATAAATAAAAGCAATATCACTTTTCAATAAACCTTTCTTTTTTACTATAAAAATATTAGAAAGCAGGGAAAAAAAATTGAATTGCTGATCTGGGTCTCCATGGACCAAAGGAAGGCCCAGGGTAGGTAAAGATGCCAAAATACAGGCAAAAACTAGTGAAAAATCAAAATTACTGAATCTTAAACCTCTAAAAAAAATGCAGGGAGAAAAGAAATATTAACCAGGTGGAACTGTGGGGTGGAAGCCCTCTGCAGCAGCGGAAATTCTTCCTGGGTCTTTTTTTCTTCTTTGCCCTTTCTCAACTTCCCTCCTAATGAGAGAACAGTAAGCCAGCTCATCTTGGGGAAAAGGCAAAGCAAATATGCAGCTGCGTCCCTCAGAATAAACCGGAGGATGGAAAGACAACCCGTGCACATAGGTGAATAGACTACTACTGTGACCACCAAAAACTATCAACCGCAATGCAATGCCAGTCAACATCCTGATGTGATTCAAAAACATGGAAAAATCATATGGAAGCATGAAAGACCCTAAATAGCAAAAAAGCAATCCTGGGCAAAAAAAGAGCAACCCTGCAAGCATCATAGCATCAGACTTCAAAACACAGCACCAAAACCAGCATGATGCAGACTAACTGATCAGTACAAGAATGCAGGAACAGAACCACACAGCTACAACCAACTAATTTTTTTTTAATTTTTTATTTTTTGTGTCCAGTCATGGGGCCTGAACTCTGGGCCTGGGCGCTGTCCCTCAGCTCTGCAGCTTAAGCGTAGCTCTCTACCACTTGGGCCACAGCGCCACTTCTGGCTTTTTTCTTTTTGCTTATGTGGTGCTGAGGAATCGAACCCAGGGCCTCAGGCATGCAAGGCAAGCGCTCTACCACTGAGCCACCTTCCCAGCCCCAACCAACTAATTTTTGACAAAGAAACTTAAAAAGAAAGCACCTTGCATAAGTGCAGCTGGGAAATTGGTTATCCAAGTAACGGAGAAGTGAAACTTGCTGTCTCATACCCTGCATAAAAACCAGCTCGAAATAGATCAAGGATCCTAGGGTAAAATCTGAAACTTATTTATTTATTTATTTTTGTCAGTTGTGGGGCCTGAACTCTGGGTCTGGGCGCTGCCCCTCAACTCCTCAGCTCAAGGCTAGCTCTCTACCACTGAACCACCTTCTCAGCCCCAAAACATGAAAATTTAAACAATTACAAAGAAAACTCTAGAAGATATAGGGATAGGTAATTTTGTTAAGTAATATTCCAGTTGCTTAAGAAGCACAAGAATTGACAAATTGGATAAAATCAAA